TGAAAAGGCAGAATAATCAACAAGAATTATTAAAAATAAAATAATAAACATTTGAAAAAGATATACCAATCTAATACAATACAAAAACTAAATAAATGAAACCAAAAAAAAAAAAAAGGGTAAAAGACAAAACCCATTAACTCAAATGATTCAAAACTTCCATATATGAATAACATTAACAGGTAAAACTCAACAAATATGTACCTTTTCTTTTGTAGCATAGATATAGCTTTCAAGATTATTTTTTAACTCTGCAGTTTTTCTCCGTTTGGCATCCTTCTTGTCCAGGACATCCAATTTACCTTTGGCTTCAGCAAGAGACTCTTTTGATAGAGACATTCCAGGTCCTGCTGTTTTCTCCACCATCTACAATCAAAAGAAGAAATGATAAACTTGCAATAAAAATGACGATGTAAAGACAAAAAACATAACAACTGTCATTTATAAATAAGTTTTAAGGTAGCTTTTTCACACCTTCAGTGGCACTCTAAATGTTTTTTTCTTCAGCCTTTTCTCTGTACCAAGATCAACTGTGATTGGTTCTTCAACAGTAGTGTTAGTGTTAATATTAAAAGCACTGCTCACTACACTATCAGAATTTAAGCCTTCTTTATTTTCTTCTGATGCCTTTTCGGCACCAACTTCAGCAGATATGTTAGATGAAGCAGTAGTTGCATTCTCTACAGATATATTCTTTCTAAGAACTTCCACCCACTCTGATATTTCAATAACAGCATTTGCTCGATCTAAATAAATGATTCCACTTCTACTAAGTGAAAAGTGTAGGTTTGTTTTGATAGGTGCAGATAAATTGCGAGATGAATACCTAGAGAACACACAGATTGCCAAGGAAAACCATATCATGCATTATTTGCATGCTAATGAAGAAGAAAGTAACAAGTTCTTTAAAGCAATAAGACTAAACAAATCCACATAAAATGCTTACTTCTCAGATGCTTCTGCCAAACCAGACACAACATACTGAGCAAACACAGGGGACAAAAGACCAGGTGGTAAAAGATCTTCACTTTCATAGGCAAGTGAAACTCCAAAATCTTTGTTATGGATGATGGTCCTGAACATCTGTCCATAAAGAAATTAGACACCGCCAATAGCAAAACTAAAAGGAAATGCATCCACTTTCATTTCTATCAATTTCAGATAACATCTTTTACCTTACTGGGGAGTTTCTTCATCCGTGGAACAAGTAACTGCTTGTTGCTATCGTTTTTCGAAAGATCAGGTCCATCTAATTCAATAACGAATCCATACGAAGAACCATCTGTCATTCCTAGCTTACGATTCAATTTGATTCCATCGCTTGCAGCATGAAGGGCTGCACCAAGAACAATTGCTTCATCAGCATCCAGGTGTTTGTGCAGCTCTTTTTTTCCAAGAGATTCCTGGAGCTTAACCTGTCATGAAAAAAGCAAGTTTACTTTCACATTTTTCCTTCATTAAATAATAGCTGTGTAGCTAAGGAACACAAGGGAAGGTGAAATTTTCTTCAAACAGATGCGGATTCTTTTAGATAAATGCCATAGCCCCATGTGGGGTTGGGTTTTGCGATGGGAGAGGTTGTCTCCGGTTGTGCAACCCAAAAAGAAGAAAAAAAAAAGAAAACCCCCAAACCCATAGCCCCATAATATGATCCAGAGTCATAGACCTTGTACCTAATATGCACTTCTCTTCATCCCCCCTCCCTCTCTCCCCCTCACATTGATCCCAAAGCCTCAAAGGCTAATTACCACAAAAACCTTAATGGGAGGTTACCAGTCCTAAGTTATAACATGTGTAAAAGATAAGAAGTACATCCTATAAAATATCCTTCACCCAGCCACAATTTTTTTTTTTAAAAAAAAACCTAATTAATATATACATATATATATATGTTATTTACCTTAACAGTTGCCCACTATTATTCAAATAAAAAAAGGGGCATAACAGAAGTCAAACCACAAAGCAGTAAAAGAAGGACTGAACTGATCTTAAACAAGCACTGCTGGTCTACTACTGGTCAGAAAAGTAATCTTAATTCCGAACAAGTCCTCTAAACAAACTTTGATAACAAAATTTAGCTACAAGTGCCATACATAGAATTATGGAAGAACCTAGAAGCAACTGCTGTCTGCATCTCTTTTTAGTTTTCAGGTTTATATGTATTTGTGGAACAGTATGGTTCCCACACAACAGATCAAAAACTAGTAAAACAAGGAATGAACTAGTCTTACACAAACACTGCCAGTCTACTAGTAGTCAAATATGTAATCTTAATTATGAATAAGTCAACTGAACATACTTTGACGGTGGAATTCAGTTTCAAATTTTATCCACAGAACTACAGATGAAGCCAAAAGCAACCAAATGTCAGCATTTTTTTTACCTTTTTATGTTTGCATGTATTGGTGGAATTGCATGGATCCAGCACAGCATAGGTATTTTTTTTTTTCTTTTTGGGCACAGAATACAAGTGAAGAAACAAAGACAATGCAAACCTGCAACTTCGGTACCCTAGTTGCTCCTCCAATCAACTCCACTGCATATATGTCATCCACTTCCAAACCAGAATACTTGAGAACTTCTTTCACAGGTGTAAGAGATTTCTCCCAAAGATCTTCACAGAGATCTTCAAACTTCTCACGGGTTATGGTGCTCCTGGAATAGAATCAAATATCAGCCAAGCATATTAATAATGTTCAGTTTCTTGCTGAGAAAAACATATTATATCTAGATCTGATAAAGTGTGGAAAATAAGCATTTCTTTAAAGATGCAGCGGATTAAATTGGTCGGACACTCTCAAACAGTTTTTAGTTGTGCCCTTGTGGTTTCTTAACTTCCCCAAACTGAGTTGTCTATAAAAGTAAAAGTAGTTTTTAATGACTGCATGATTGCTAAACTAATTCCTCAAATACAATGCACAAACTACAGATCACAAATCGAAAGAAAAATTAAGAACATGTTTTCTGGTTATTTTCTCCTCCATCCTACATTGAAAAGATGCTTATTGGTGATTGAAGCAGTTAATTAATTTTTAAGTTAAAAATACTCAAGTATTTGGCAAAAGCAAATGGCCAGCACGTCATTGATGCATCCATGCAACTCGTCCTTGGTGTTGGGGTAATTGTAGCTCACCAGAACAGCCAGTCTCTTCTTACCCTCTCCATTTCCTCGGAATTGGAACTCAGATTCTGAGACCATACCTTTCAGATCTTCTGTTATGATAGGTAAGGAGATGACTTGAGAAATGGTTCAAGCAACTGCCTTGTCAAGTTCAGTTTGCCTTTCCAGTATGGGAAAATTGGTTCTCCTTTCTTTAGCACAAGACAAGAAAGGCTTCCTTTTATGCATAATATGGTAGGCTTTGGCTTCCAACAAGCTGTGCTTTAATATATATATAAGAAGTGCACATTGTTATTCAAGAAACCTTTGTGTTACACCTGCTTCAGTTGTGTTTATCAAACAA